ATCCCTGCACCTTCAGGCCTCAGAGCAGCTGGAATTATTTACACCTTCAAACTTCAGCTCACCCCAGATCCTGTATTTCACACCTCAGATCACCTCCATTCCTGTACCTTTACACCTCCAACTACCTAATTATTGCACTTTCACACCTCATCCCACCCCAATTCCTGCACTTTCACATAACAGATCAGTCCTCAATTCCTGCATTTTCCCACCTCAAGTCACCCAAATACTTGCACCTTTATTCCTCTGATCATCTCCAATTCCTGCACTCTTACAGCTCATATCACCCCAATTTTTGCACCGTCACACCTTAGATCAGCCCCAAATCCTGCATCTTCACATCTCAGATCAGCCGAAATCCCTGCACCTCCAGGCCTCATATCAGCCCCAATTTATGCACCTTCACACGTCAGCTCACCGCAGATCCTCCACTTTCACACCTCAGATTAGCCCAGATCTTGTACTTTTGCACCCCAGATCAGGCCCAAGTCATGTTTCTTTAGTCCTCAGGTCAGCTCCAGTTTCTGCACTTTCACACACCAGATCAACTCCAATTTCTGCACCTTCACACTTCAAATTAGCCCACTTCCTGCACATTCACACCTCTGATCATCCCAAATCTTGCACTTTTGCACCCCAGATCAGGCACAGCTCATGTTTCCTTAGGCTTCAGATCAGCTCCAGTTTCTGCACTTTCACACCTCCGATCACCCCAATTCCTGCAGCTCCAGACCTCAGATCAGCCCCAATTCCTGCATCTCCAGGCCTCAGATCAGCCCTAATTCCTGCACCTTCACACCTCAGATCACCCCAATTCCTGCAACTTCACATCCCATTCTCCAGAGACAATTCTTGTGTCTTCAGGTCTCAGATCAGCACCAATTCCTGCTCTTTCAGGCCTCAGATAAGCCCAAATTCTTGAACTCCCCAGAACTATGATCACAATTCCTGCACCTTCACATCTCAGATCACCTCAATTACTGCACCTTCACATTTCAGCTCACCCCAAATCTTGCACCTTCACACCTCAGATCAGCCCCAATTTCTGCACCCTCACACCTCAGATAAGCCCCAATTCTTGCACCTTCACACCTTAGATCAGCCCCAATTCCTGCACCTTCACACCTCAGATCAGCCCCAATTCCTGCACCTTCACACCTCAGATCAGCCCCAATTCCTGAACCTTCACACCTCAAATCAGCCCCAATCCCTGCACTTCCAGGCCTCAGATCTGCCCCAATTTATGCATCTTCACACTTAAGCACACCCCAGATCCTGCACTTTCAGACCTCTGATCACCTAATTAATGCACTTTCACCTTAACCCACTACAATTTCTGCACATCCACATCACAGATCAACCACAATTTCTGCTCCTTCAGGCCTCAGATCAGCCCCAATTCCTGCACATTCTGGCATAAATGGGCCAAGCCTTTTCCACACAGATGCTCCAGAAATGAACACCAGCCAATGCTCCAGTCAAGACATCACCAACTGTACCATGCAGAAGAATTGGAGAATTGAGTCTCAATTCCTGCAGTTTCTAATTCCTTTTTCTAAGGTGGTAGTTACGAATATCTGTTCTGAAGTTGTAGTTCCCAGTAGAAGTTCTAAAGTAGTAGTTACAAAATGTTTTAAAGTAGTAGTTCCTTCTCTTTGGTCACCACGGTGAATGGCAGTGGCAGGAATCTGCTGATTCCTGCTACTGTTTTTGACATCTGTGAACTGCTATCCACAACCACCAAGTCTGTACAGTACACTTTTATGACAAGTTGCCGGGGGCCGTAGCTATTCGTGGCTGTTCACACAACCAGCGATTATCTGTGGTGATCGCTGCTGAATGCACCCAAAGTGTGTGTTCAGCAGGCATCACTGCAGGTAATCACTGACTGTGTGAACAGTCACGAATAGCTGCAGCACCCAGTAACCTGCCATTATAATGCACCGTACGGGCTTGGCAGCTGCAGCTAACTGCTTGCTGGTGTCAAAAACAGCAGCATGAATCAGCAGATTCCTGTCACTGCCATTCACACCATGGCTAAATGCCCATGAGAATGAAGCCTAAATTAGTAAATCCCAATAGCTGTTATGTCAGAAATCCTTTAAAACCCTTTTCCCTCCACATTAAATCCTTCTTTGCATTGAGTTACTCATAAAATATTCCTGTGGAAGGGGTTAATTTGAAGATAAAGCTCTCTGACTATATCCCCTCCAAGCTGAGGTAGGCACATGGATGCTGAGGGAGAGAAATGTTCGGAGGGAGGGCAGGTACACCGATAGTAAAAGCCTGGCCATGAGCCGGCTCAGGCTAAAGGAGTGCTGAACCACAGAGGAGGAAAAATACTGAATATAATTACTCTTTCAAAGCAGCCTGGGGTATCCGACTTGACACAGCTTTGGTGTGGAGAAAGCAATGCAGGAACAATGCTGGTTCTTCTGTATGCAGCTGCTGGCCAGTTTTATTGTTTGGGAGGTGGGTCTCCCAGGACTCCCCTTGGGTGCCGTCCTTGATATTTTAGCATGCCACCTCCAGCACTAGTGCCGGCGGTTGCCTACCCCTGGTTTAGATTTTGAATGTAAACATCTGCCAATTTAAGGAACAAGTATCTCACATCTTAGCTAACTTACGTATGCCAAAGCTCAAATATTATGTCAACAATCCTGTGTGGATGGATATGTCAACAATCCTGTGTGGATGGATAAAGAGTAACAATTACTAAAGCAATAGTAAACCCTTTTTTCCCTCATTTAATATTCTGATATTTGGATTTACCATGTCCTCTGCTTTTTTTTTAAATGTATTTATATAATGCCTTTTTATCCTGTCCCCCAATGGGAAGACTTCCAATATAAGTATGCCTCTTTAGGTTTCAGGATCGTATGGAGCCACCCCCACATGCAAGCTCCTGGGAACAGTACTACTGGGTGATGTAAATAGGTAGAGACCAATAGCCACCAAGACACACCTCTGCTTCTCTAATTGACAGTGGCTTGCAAGGGCTGCACATATGTGCCGGTTTCTTGAATCCTGGGACATGTAGTCCCAAGTATGGGGAATCAGGCTGATATATATGAAACAATGAAACCGAATGTGCTCTACTGTACTAATAACATTTAAGTTATTTCATGTTTATAAAGATTCACATATACATACAAGATTTTTTTTTTTTTTAGAAAAATATATTGTAGAATGCATGCAGTTGCGCTTTGTCACAGCTCTGGAAGCAGGATAAAGCTGAATCTCAATAAAGTTAGGCATTAAGGACATAAAAAGGTCATGTTGCACCTTAGTATAGGACTGTAGAGCTAAGAACTTGACATGCAGTCTTTTTCAGAAAAGTCTATGGTACAGACTCAGACATGTGCAACAAAGAAATTTCAGAACCAGGTGAATAGTGTCGGGTCCAGCTGTAGAGCGTATCACTGTAACCTGGAGATCGATCGATAGGAGGTAAGTACTCACATACACAAAACTGCTTAGGAGGAAGCCTTTGGGTGACAGATGCACAAGAGTGCATTTCTCTCTCAAAAGCAGAGACTTGCTCTAAGTTAAAGCGAACATCTAGAAATGTTAAAGTTGTTGTATAGGCTGAAAGTTTTTTATCTTCATGCATGAAGGTAAAACCACCAGACCCCCAGACATGCACAGGAGCCTTGGCTGTGACATAACAGGAGCCATTGGCTTCCACTGCTGTCAATCACAGTGAGTGAGACAATGAGGAGAGAGTGGGGGCAGGGCTGAGCCATGGCTCTATGTGTCATAGAGCGGGCCTTGGGAGCAACACCAGTGCTCCCATAGCAAGCTGCTTGCTATTTTGGGGGCACTGATCAAGGGGGAGGAGCCAGGATTGCCAACGGGGGACCCAAGAAGAAGAGGATCAGGGCTGTTCTGTGCACACCACTGCACACAGAAAGTAAGTATGACATGTTTGTTATTAAAGGGTCTGTGTTTTCTTTTTTTTAATATCACTTTAATTATGGCTTATTATGCTTCTTTCCTTGAATTCCTTCTAGGCACTTCTGTACCTGCTGCCTTAAAATTGTACAATATATCTGCTATGTGAGAGACACTGCTGCCTGTGACTATCGCTGAAGATTTGTAGTTAGATTTGGCAATATCACTACTGTGCTGCTTGCTGGGGAGGAATCTCTAACTGTGGACCTGCAGTGCTTACACCTCCCTGCTTCTACTTACTTCATTCTTTGGATTCCAATTTGCTGCTCCTAAATATACTCACCAGCCACTTTATGTGTGAGAGGTACTGCTGCCTGTGACTATCTCTGAAGATTTGGAGTTAGATTTGGCAATATCACTACTGTGCTGCTTGCTGGGGAGGAATCTCTAACTGTGGACCTGCAGTGCTTACACCTCCCTGCTTCTACTTACTTCATTCTTTGGATTTGGATTTTTGCTGCTCCTGAATATACTCACCAGCCACTTTATTAGGTACACCTTGCTAGTACTGGGTTGGACCCCCTATTGCCTTCAGAACTGCCTTAATTCTTCATGGCATAGATTGTTGGAAACATTCCTCTGAGATTTTGGTCCATATTGACATGATAGCATCATGCAGTTGGCTGTAATCTTCTGTTCCACCACATTCCAAAGATGCTCTATTGGATTGAGATCTGGTGACAATGGAGGACATTAGAGTACAGTGAACTCATTGTCACATTGAAGAAACCAGTTTGAGATTATTTGAGCTTTGTGACATGGAGCATTATCCTGCTGGAAGTAGTCATCAGTAGATGAGTACACTGTAGTCATAAAGGCATGGGCATGGTCAGCAACAATACTCAGGTAGGCCATGATGTTTAAACAATGCTCAATTAGTACTAGGGTCCCAAAGTGTTCCAAGAAAAATATCCCCCACACCATTTGTCAGGGCTCCCAGGTGTGACCAGAGGTGTGTGACTGACGCAGGGAAACGCAGACTTCAGATATGTGATAACAATATAATTTATTAACACTAACCATACAAACATAAACGCAGTGCAATACTAAAGCATAATACAGTGCAAACAAACCAAACCAACCACCCACAGATAACAGTACATACAAGCAAGCGTCGTCAGGCAGGCCGGGTCAATATCAATAGGGCAGGTAGATACAGGGGGAGCAAGCGGAGATGGGTCGGGGTCACAGGCCAGGTTCAGCAGGTAGCTAGCAGCGTAGTACAGAGGGTCAGGCAGAGGGATGGTCAGGGTCACAAGCCAGGGATCAGAACAGGTAGCAAGCAGCCTGGTACAGAGGGTCAGGCAGAGGGATGGTCATGAGCGAGCCGGGATCAGAGCAGGAGAAGTCAGCAGCGGTTCAGATCAGGCAGGGTCAGCAAAGGAACAGAAACAGGATGCAGGACAGATACAGGGCCCAGGACAAACACAACACCAAGGCAGAGTCTGCAGGTCTGGCCATCCCTTAAATACACCAGTATAATCAGTTCCAGGTGTTAGCTGGCTGAAAGGTTGAGTCTCTGATTGCTGGGAGCACCCGCTGGCCAGCCCTGGTACTGCAGATCAAAAGGCAGGTGAGTCCCACCATTGCTGGCCAGTCCATTCCTGACAGTATCCCCCCCTCAAGGAGCGGCCTCAGGACGCTCCAAACAGTCCTAGCTGGGCAAAATGTTCCACCGCCCGGGTCTGGTAACTGGCGGGATATCAAAGACTGGCACACCGGGCTGGACTCCGGGCAGCGGCACACCGAGCTGGACTCCAGGGCAGCGGCACATCGGGCTGGACTCCGGGCAGAGGCACATCTGGACTCCGGGGCTGGACTCCGGGCAGAGGCACATCGGGCTGGACTCCGGGCAGAGGCACATCGGGCTGGACTCCGGGCAGAGGCACACCGGGCAGAGGCACATCGGGCTAAACTCCGGGCAGAGGCACATCGGGCTGGACTCCGGGCAGAGGCACTCCGGGCAGAGGCACATCGGGCTGGACTCCGGGCAGAGGCACATCGGGGCTGGACTCCGGGGCAGAGGCACATCGGGCGGCATCGGGTGGACTCCGGGCAGAGGCACATCGGGCTGGACTCCGGGCAGAGGCACATCGGGCTGGACTCCGGGCAGAGGGCACATCGGGCAGGACTCCGGGCAGAGGCACATCGGATTACCAGGCAAAGCAGGCAGGCAGCGCAGCGGGCACCGCGTCATCTGGCAAGGCAGTGGGCACCGAGTCACCAGGCATTGGATCGTACGACAGCGGGCTCTGAGTCAATTGGCACGATAGCAGGGCACCAGGGATGAGTCATTGGTACCAGGTACCAGATCATCTGGATCAACAGCGGGCATCGAGTCAACTGGCCTAATAGGATCGTCAGGCTGGATCAGTTCATCATGCTGGGTAGAGGCATCAGGCTGAATGCCGGCGTCCGGCTGAGTAGAGGCTTCAGGCCGAGTAGAGGCTTCAGGCCGAGTAGAGGCTCCAGGCCGAGTAGAGGCTCAGGCCGAGTAGAGGCTCCAGGCCGAGTAGAGGCTCCAGGCCGAGTAGAGGCATCAGGGCCGAGTAGAGGCATCAGGCCGAGTACAGGCTTCAGGCCGAGTAGAGGCTTCAGGCTGAACCACGGAAGGCAGGTTCACCGGTTTGGATACTGGCAGGATGGTATTGGTTGGAAAGAATTTTCGCTTTTTTCTGGTTTTACTACTGGAGCACTGCAAGTAAACACAGGTCTGCAAACGAATGGAGCAGCTGGAGACAGAGAAGAACTGGAGGATGGAACAGGAGAGGGAGCAGTTGCTACAGAGGGCTTTTTTACAGGGTTAAAGGCAGGATAGGTGCAGCGAGTGGGAACAGGGTACTGACATGCGGTAGATAGCCAAGTATACTGGGCTGTAACTGGGGGAGTTGTTGGGAATACAGGAGTAGAGCTTTGAGGAAATAGATTAGAAGCAGGACTGGGTTTTTGTAAGCTGACTGAGGCTGGGTGCAACAAGTCTGTCCATGTCTGCAGTATGGGTTGAACAAAGCTGAGCTTACACAAAGCCTGTCTGACCAAAGACTGCACTGCGTTTATACAATCTCTTAGTATCTGTGGTGAACATGTGGAATAACGCTCCAGAAAGTAACCCACATCATCCTCTAATAACCACACCAGGGACTCTACCTGGTCTGCACTAAATGGTGGCAAAAATTCATCCCTGCATTCGGGGAAACCAGATGAAACCAACTCAACACAAACCTTAATCAATGGCTGCACCATAGAGAAATCTGTGCCCTGATCTACTAGAACATGAGCGAGCCGTATACATTCTAGCAGTTCATCCCGGGTATACTCCTTCAGAGTCTGATAAGCATATTTTCTGTCATCAAGCACTAGCAGAGATAAATACTCAACCTCATCCAGATTCATCCTTCCCAGAAACAAGCCAAGATGGCTTCCCTGTGCAGCCACTTCTGGTCAGGATTGGCCTTGGTGTAATGTCAGGGCTCCCAGGTGTGACCAGAGGTGTGTGACTGATGCAGGGAAACGCAGACTTCAGATATGTGATAACAATATAATTTATTAACACAAACCATACAAACATAAACGCAGTGCAATACTAAAACATAATACAGTGCAAACAAACCAAACCAACCACCCACAGATAACAGTACATACAAGCAAGCGTCGTCAGGCAGGCCGGGTCAATATCAATAGGGCAGGTAGGTACAGGGGGAGCAAGCGGAGATGGGTCGGGGTCACAGGCCAGGTTCAGCAGGTAGCTAGCAGCGTAGTACAGAGGGTCAGGCAGAGGGATGGTCAGGGTCACAAGCCAGGGATCAGAACAGGTAGCAAGCAGCGTGGTACAGAGGGTCAGGCAGAGGGATGGTCAGGGTCACAAGCCAGGGATCAGAACAGGTAGCAAGCAGCGTGGTACAGAGGGTCAGGCAGAGGGATGGTCAGGAGCGAGCCGGGATCAGAGCAGGTGAAGTCAGCAGCGGTTCAGATCAGGCAGGGTCAGCAAAGGAACAGAAACAGGATGCAGGACAGATACAGGGCCCAGGACAAACACAACACCAGGGCAGAGTCTGCAAGTCTGGCCATCCCTTAAATACACCAGTATCATCAGTTCCAGGTGTTAGCTGGCTGAAAGGTTGAGTCTCTGATTGCTGGGAGCACCCGCTGGCCAGCCCTGGTCCTGCAGATCAAAAGGCAGGTGAGTCCCACCATTGCTGGCCAGTCCATTCCTGACACCATTACACCACCACCAGCCTAAACCGTTGATACAAGGTAGGGTGGATCCATGCTTTCATGTTGTTTACGCCAGATTCTGACCTTACCTGGATGAATGTCGCAGCTGTAATTGAGACTCGTCAGGCCAGAATTTTTTTCCAATCTTTTATTGTCCAATTTTGGTGAGCCTGTGCGAAATTTTAGCCTCTGTTTCTTGTTCTTAGCTGACAGCAGTGGCAGCCGGTGTGGTCTTCTGCTAATGTAGCCCATCTGCTTCAAGGTTCAACATGTTGTGTGTTCAGAGATGATATTCTACATATTTTGGTTGTAACGAGTGGTTATTTGAGTTACTGTTGTCTTTCTATCATCTCGAACCAGTCTGCCCACTCTCCTCTGACCTCTGACATCAACAAGGCATTTTCTTCCACACAACTGCCACTTACTGATTATTTTCTCTTTTTTCTGACCATTCTCTGTAAACTCTAGAGAAATTGTTGTTATGAAAATCCCAGTAGATCAGCAGTTTTAGAAATACTCAGAGCAGCCAATTTGGCATCAACAACCATGCCATGTTCGAAGTCACATAAATCCTCTTTCTTCCCCATTCTGATGCTCAGTTTGAACTTCAGCAAGTCATCTTCACCACATCTAGATACCTAAATGCATTGAGTTGCTGCCATGTGATTGGCAGATTAGCAATTTGTGTTACCAATTGAACATGTGTACCTAATAAAGTGGCCAATGAGTGTATTTCATCCAACAGTTATCAGATCACCAGCCACCAGAAGGAAAGCTCTAAAACAAGGAAGCAACTCATTCTGCTCTACCAAGTTCCACACAGAAACCATGTGAAACAAGACATACTGGGGTTTATTTACTAAAGCTGGAGAGTCCAAAATCAGACTCCCTTCTGCATAGAAACCAATCAGCTTCCAGGTTTCATTACCAAAGCTTCATTGAACAAGCTGAGGTTAGAAGCTGATTGGTTTCTATTCAGAAGGGAGTCTGATTTTGGACTCTCCAGCTTTAGTAAATAAACCCCGGTGAGTCTATACAGAAAAAGATCAGCTACAGGAAGGCCACAAGTCTTCACATTTTATGAAGTCTAAAATATGGCAAAATAGTTTTTGCATAGTTCAAATAGGTCTTTTTGCAGATAAAGAAATCTATAAATGTGTATGACATAAATTTGCATATTTGCTAGTATTAAAATCCAGGACAAATAGCTTGGTTTACGGAAAATCAGCTCAAGTAAAAAGCACCTTTCCCAAGACAGTGCAATTAAATCTGGATACACCTGAGGGTTAAAGTCTAAATTGAGTTTTATGAGAAAATGGTCAGTTTACCGTACAACACAATTTGTAATTGTTTAAAAATGTTTGTGCAGAGAATATTTATGATGGAGTCATTATTTCAAAGCAGTTTTGGTATTTACCAGAGGGGTCCTATATTGAGTCTGGCATTGAGTGTGTAAGAGTTAAAATATATTTTAACTCGATCACTAAAATCACATATTTAATCAATTTCAAATGTTGTTTTGAAACTTTTTTTATATATGCAGATTCCATTTAATAACATCTGACGATCCTGCTATAAAGGCTCTTGGTTCAGGCACTTCCTTTTCAGACAGTGCTCTTTTCCTCTATCTCAACTGTCACCTTTTGAGATGGTCTTCTGATGGAAGCTGAAGTAGCCATTTCAATAAATATAATGAAAATATGGTCCACTGTTGTTACCAAACCCAACCTGAAAGATGCCATGCAGCCATCACTGGAGTACATGCATATAGACAGGAAGTGGCCAAAAAAGGTGCAGAACCAAGAATACTGAGATTTATTTATTTATTTGAGGTACTGATATAGCACTGATTTACACATAGCTTTACATAGTGTATACATTCAGATCAGTTCCTGCCCCCAAGGAGCTTAAAATCTTAGCTCCCTAACTTACATTCATACATACACATTGTGAGCAGGGCGTTGCATGGTGGGACAGCGCAGAAATCACACAGAGCAAATTTGAACTATGTATTGCAATATTTTAGCTTGATGTAATGCTGACAGCTTCTGCAACAAGGAGCAGGAGTGTAGCCTGGCTGGTTTGACCTAGCTGGGAGGCTACCAAGGTGGAGAATAGTGTGGTCCCTGCACTGTCACTACTCCTCTGGAAACTCTCCCTAACACTAGATACTGTCCCTGAAAGACAGGGAACCTGCCCCTACACTAAACACTCATAGAATTCGTGCCAAATCAGGGGACCTGTGTCCTAAATAAGCACTGCAGTGCCCTACACAAGATACCCATGGGAGTCTTAGAGGGCACCAGTGTCCAATCAGACAGCTGCTCTTCTGCTGACCCAGAAAGTCATAGAGGAACTGGGTTCCTCACAACTTCCTTCCCTTCTACATCACCGCTCAAGTCTAGAGCCACCTACAGAGCATAGTATAGGCTGCACTTGCCTTCACACAATTAGCCAGTTAGCCTACCAGCATGTCTGTGGAGTGTGGGAGGAAACTGGAGTACATAAGAGGAAACCCAAACAAGCACAGGGAGAACATGCAAACAACTCCAGGCAGGTGGTGTTGGAATTTGAACCAATGACCCTAGTACTGCCAGGCGGAGGTGCTAACCACTAAAAAAGGAATTGTTTATGTTACACGGTATGTTATTATGTTATTCAGTTAGGGTTTAGCTCTACTCCTGAGTCTAAATCAATCTTTTTAAATTAATACAATAAGTTATAGATGCTCTATATTTGACCCTAAATGCTATATTGTGTTGGAAATGGTGCCAGAACAGGACTGCATGCAAATGAGCCTAATAAAGTTTCATGAGCAACCTACAAGGATCTTATCAGACTAGAGCATTAGGACTCCTGAAAGGCAGAAAAAGGCATTGTTGTGGACCATGGCAAGTTACCTACATAATATCTGTGTGACTTAATTCTTCAAGGGCATACAGTTTGAATATATTGTGTTAAAAGGCTTTAAATTCTATATTGTCAAGTCAAGTTATCCTAATTCCATTACCACACCCTTGCTTTTGTTGCTTTTTTGCTATCTTTTTCAGACATGCCTATTTAATCTTTATTATTGTATATAAACCAATATTTTTAATTATCAAAGAAAGCTTTCTAAAAGCACACTTTTGTACCTAGTGTGTTACTGAAAAAATAAAACCACCAAAAAAGTAAAAGTGAGATATAACAAGAGAATGTTAGACCACAGTAGCAGCAGAGACTCATGCAGCAAGGTAAGAGGAAAAAAAAGTGCTGTGAAATCACAATAGCTGTTTTAATGTTACAAGGCATTGTTCCTTATAAACAACGATTTCTTTTTACTGCCTTGAACATGAATAATTTCCTGTCTCTCAGTGAGAATGAGCTCAAAGACACTGATGAACAATACAAAGCCAGCATATAATTCCCTTTAACTAGAAAAGAATGACCTCATCTAGGTCAGTTCATAGCACAAAAGTCAAAACTACCATTTAAATCATATTACTTACACTTATTTTCTAAATGTTACTGGAGACACCCAGGCAATTCAATGAATGCTAGCAGTAACACATTTAAGGCCTCATGCACACTGAACATTTTTACAGCTGTTGTTTTTGGCTTTTGGCATTTTTTTTCTATTGCCAATAAACTCCACAGCATGTTATCCTATGTGTCCATGCACACATAGGCTTTAACGACTTGTCCTCAGGAAGATTTACCTCTTAATGACCAGGCCATTTTTTGCTACTCGGCACTGCACTATTTCAACTGGTAATTGTTTGGTCATGCAATGCTGTACCCAAACAAAATTTATGTCCTTTTTTTCACACAAACAGAGCTTTCTTTTGGTGGTATTTGATCACCAATGGGGTTTTTTTGTGATATAAAGGTAAAAAGACAAAAATTTTGAAAAAAAAAAACAATTTTTCTTTCGATTATAAAAAATATATAGTCAACTGAAAGTTAGTCATAAATTTAGGCTACAATGTATTTTGCTACATGTCTTAGGTAAAATAAAATCCCAATACATGTACCGTATTTTTTGCTCCATAAGACGCACCTGACCATAAGATGCACCTAGGTTTTAGAGGCAGAAAACAGGGAAAAAAAATTCTGAACTAATGGACTGCAGACATAGTACAGGGGATGACCAGAGACTGCAGACAGCACAGGGATGACCAGAGTCTGCAGACAGCACAGGGATGACCAGAGACTGCGGACAGCACAGGGATGACCAGAGACTTCGGACAGCACAGGGATGACCAGAGACTTCGGACAGCACAGGGATGACCAGAGACTTCGGACAGCACAGGGATGACCAGAGACTTCGGACAGCACAGGGATGACCAGAGACTTCGGACAGCACAGGGATGACCAGAGACTTCGGACAGCACAGGGATGACCAGAGACTGCGGACAGCACAGGGATGACCAGAGACTGCGGACAGTACAGGAGATGACTGCTGACCTTTGGGGAGGGGGGGGAGCGGGTACCTGAATTTGACAGGTACCCGCTCTTACTTCCGCGGAGTTCTTTGATCTTACCTGTTCCTCTATCCAGCCGCGTGCTGTCTTCCCGGCTTCTGTAGTGTGGGCGCTCGGCATGACAGCCGGGTGCCAGTGCGCATGAGCGAAAAGCACTTGCGCTTTGTGATTGGTCCGGCGGCTTCTGGGATCTGTCATGTGTCCCAGGTACCGCCTTACCATTCATAAAAAGCACCGCTTCTTGCGCATGCGCACTTGGCACCCGGCTGTCTATCCCAGCGCCGACACTACATGAAGCCGGGAAGACAGCGCGCCGCTGGATAGAGGAACAGGCAAGGTCAAAGAACAACTCTGCTGAAGTAAGAGCGGGTACCTGTCAAATTCAGGTAC